AGAGAGAGAGAGAGAAGAAAAAGAAAAAGAATAGGGTAGAACCTCGTTCATCTCGTACCATGAAATTTGACAATGTTCTCTCTATTTGGTCGATATTACTACCACTTTTATTCTCGAGTTTGCGAGATTTAACAAAAGGAAAAAAGAAAAAGAGAAAAAAATAGAATAGAATTTCGTGAACTTTATTGTAAAGTTTAACAATATTTTTTATTCCTTATCAAAATTCTCTTATCTTTATTGATCCAAGATCGATATTTTTCAAAAACGTTATTTAAAAATTTAAACAACAGCATTTTAAAGTTAAAAAATCGAAATCGTTCTAGTTTTAGCGTAATACGAGACATAAGAAAATCTTGAACGAATAAAAACGATTTTTATTATTCTAAACAATTTATATATTCTAACAAATTTTCTTTCATTACGAATTCGTATATAAATATATAGAACGAGCATTAACTCGTTCTTATGAAACGAGATGCGAGACAAACGAGCATCCGCTATGGCTAAAATTCCATAGGTGGGATGTCGCGGACAAACTTGTCCCTAAATTTTCAGGAAAATTTCCCGGGGAAAAGTAACGGGGCAGCGGAAGTGAATTATCTTCGCGATGCTCGAGTATTATCCACTCCTGTAATCCAGAGAAATTTATCGCCCCTTTTTTATTAGATCCTTAGAAGCGCACTTAACCTGGCCAAGCTTCTTTTGCCCCGTGGCAATTACCCCCAAACGTATTTCATATTTTCTGGTGACCAAGTATCCTCGATTTGCCTAACTTTTTACCAAGATAGCACGTTTTAACGTTATATTTGAATTTATCTTGACCGGCTGATTTTTCCTTCTTATCTTCCTCTTATAATCCCCTTTAAATCTAAACGAGACCAAGTGAAATTCACAAATTGAATATTTTTAACAATTTAAAATTAATTTTAATATTTAATCAATATATAAAATTAAGACTGTTTTAAATTATATTTTTAAAATATATTCGGTTGTTCGGAAAATAATTTCGTTTTTTCACACGAGTGTCGCTAGCTGAGTGTTTATCCAGCCAACTTCATTCTAAACCGTGTTATATATTTTGAGAGTTGGCATTTCACGGTTTATTTATAAGAAAAATTGATTCTGTGCGATTGTTTGTTTCACGTGTATAATAATAAAGATGCAAGCCCAAAAGGAACATTTTTGGCATATTTTACTTTTTTATTACCGAAAAGTATATATGAATGCTGTTCAAGCAAGAAAAAAGTTATGCGAAATTTATGAGGAAGGTGTATTAACAGTGTAAAATTGGTTTTTAAAATTTCGTTCCGACAATTTCGACATTAAAGGTGCACCACGAAAAGTTATCATTTGAAGCTGATGAAGACAAATAAATATGTATATATATATACAATTTTTATCTATTATTCGAAGAGATTGTTAATTTTAAATCTGATTAAAATTATTTCCATGATTATTTCTCTTGTCGAATGAAAAATCAGGAAATAACGTCAAGATAATTGGTTATTGGAAATTGGTATCATTTGGAACTCGAATCGAGATGCTGTTCGCGTGGCAGGCAGTTTCGATCTCGGCGAGGTGATTCACGAGCTCGATTTCGTGTCCAGCTTCGGCATGTACCACGACACGGAAAAGATCGGATGCAGCAAGAGGGACGGCGACACCTTGCACGTGATGACGCCCACTTTCGAGGTGGACACCATTGGCGTCGCATGGTCCAGATGCTCGAGAAGGGACATTACCAATTTCTTAGAGTAAGAAATTTAAGAATCTTAACCCGCGACAAGTAGTAAAGTAGTAGTAATAGTAGTTTTTCGATTTCGTAATTCGATAACTTATGCAAAATTTACACTTTGAACGTGCGCAATGTAATAAAAATTACGAAAGGAGAGGAATGTTTTTTGAAAGAAGAAATTCTTTTTTCTTTTTTCCTTATAGTCAAGGAAAGGGCGAGTGTTTGGAGGATGAGCCGGCGGATAACGATTACTCGTATCCAGATTTACCACCTGGAGCTATGTATAACGCGGAACACCAGTGCAGGCTTCAGTTCGGTGTCAGGGAGGCTTCGGTTTGCTCTCCCTTGCAGGAGGTGATGAACAAAAGTAAATCGAGTACGGGGCGATTATGAATAGACCGGTGGAATAGAGATCGGTAATTTTGTTCGCAGATCTGTTCCAAATTATGGTGTATCGTCGACGGCACTTGCACCACGATGCTTCATCCGGCCGCCCCTGGGACGCACTGCGGAAAACACATGGTACTGGTCACTGATTTCCGTTCGTTGATTTTCTCATCTGTTGACCGTTAAACACTTTTTAATTAATTTCGAAATACCTTTGATCGATTCTTCGAATGCTTTAAAGTCGTCGCTAAATATTTATTAAATAAATTAAAAATTAAATTAAATTAATATTTAATAATTAACAAAATTAATCCTGTTTCATCTAACTTGAATTTCTCATGATAATTTATAATAAACAAGCCTCGATTCGAGTCAAACTTTAGAATCGATACAAAAATTATCTTACCAATATATTGATATATAATTTTTATAAATTATACTAATATCTACAAAATTTTTCTTCGACCGCTGGAACATCGTTGCAGTGGTGTCAAAACCAAGAATGCGTGCCGATCGTGGACAGGCCACGTCAGATCGACGGAGGATGGGGCGAGTGGGGCTCTTGGAGCGAGTGTTCGAGGAGCTGCGGGGCAGGAGTCTCGATCGTGGAGCGTAAATGCGACCATCCGGAGCCGGCGCACAGCGGGAAGTTTTGTATCGGCGAGAGACGCCGTTACAAAATCTGCAATACCGAGCCATGTCCGGAGGGCACGCCCAGCTTCAGAGCGGTCCAGTGCAGTCATTATGACGACAAAGAGTACAAAGGAAAAAATTATACGTGGCTGCCGTATTTCGATCAGAGTAAGCGATCGATTTTTAAGAAAATCAAACAAAATCTTACCTTTCGTTATGTCGAAGATGTCCATTATTAATTATTTAATTATTACATGGAAAGAAAAATATTTTGTATCGATCGATACGTCCGTTCAAATACTTTACTCTCGTACAAACACCGAATGAACGAATATCATGTTTAATTGAAGCGGAGCCATGCGAACTGTACTGCACGGACACGGAGGAAAGCGTGATTGTCCCGTGGGGCGAAGCTGCTCTCGATGGTACACCGTGCAACGTTGGAACCAGAGATATGTGCATCGCAGGCATCTGTCGAGTCAGTTTTATATCTCGAGGATATAACGATTTTTTATTTTTTTTATAATTTCCTTCCCAATATTATCTCGATGCGTATTTTTCAAACTGCAATCGATATCGTAGAAAGTTGGCTGCGATTGGACGGTCGACTCGGACGCTACGGAAGATCGCTGCGGAATCTGTCATGGCGACGGGACCCAATGCGAGACCACGGGCGGTGTTTATGACAAAAACGACGGGCCGGGATACAAGGAGGTAATCATTGTTCCCAATGGGTCGAGAAACATCAAAATCGAAGAGATTGGGAACAGCAAAAATTACATTGGCATTGGAGTGCCCAACTCTGACAAGTACTTCCTCAATGGTAAACGGTAAGTGGTTGAAAATCTATATATAGGAAAGATGAATATAGAAATAATAAAGGTATAATAATTTACATGGTATAAAACTAACTAAATAAAATAATATAGGAGTTAAAGGAGATAAAAGATGTTGCGTCAATATTACAATCTAGAAATATGATTTTCATCCCAATTGAACAGGCAGATCACTTTAGCAGGAGAATACGAAGTTGCTGGAACTCCGGCTCTGTACGAGCGAGATCGGGACAGAGAAAAGATCAGAATTCCTGGCCCCATCAAAGAGGACATTGCAATCTACGTACGTATTCGATGTTAATCACCGTTTCAATCACGTCCCATGATCGTTATTTCATCGAGTCTTTCCTTATCCATTCTATTTTTCATCCAACCGCGCGTTCGTTATGTATCTAACCTCACTTTTTCTCGTTCTCAACAATATCGCCATTTCAGTTGATTTCAAGAGGACATTATCGGAATTTCGGGCTGCGTTACGAGTACACAGTGCCGAAGAAAGAGCCCGACCGGGCACCGGAATATTCATGGGTATTTTCCGATTGGTCATTGTGCACTGCCACTTGTGGTGGCGGCACGCAAACGTCGAAACCGTTCTGCAACGAAAAGAAAAGTGGGGTCGTCGAGGAGCAGTTTTGCGAGAGCATCGAGAAGCCGGAGACAAAATTGCGGGAGTGCAATCTGAATCCATGTCCGGCCAGGTAAAATTAAAACTCCTGGAGAGAACTCCTGGAGAAAAAAAAAAATAAATTCAAAAATTCGATCATATTTTGAATAATTGATTACTTTTAAAAAAAAAGAAAATATCGATGAATACTAATATATACTTCGACGAAATTAGATGGTGGTTTGGCCCATGGCAAATGTGTCCAGTGACGTGCGGGGAAGGTGCCCTTCGAAAACGATCGGTAATGTGCGTCTCTTCGGGAGTGGGCCCCGACAGATCTGATCTAGCCCTGCCCGATGGGGATTGTAACCGTGACGTGAGACCCGAAGAAGTCAGCCCATGTCCCAATTTGCCTCCTTGCAGTTCGACCGAACCTCCATTAATCGTTTACGCGGACAACAAGGACGCCTCTTTCTACAATGTGAGCTCGAACGATCAGAACGGTATCACGATCGTTGATGGCCTCACCACCGAGGAGCCCGAGATACTTGAATTCGACAATGTAGTCGACGAAAATCCAGGAAATTCCATGTACGATACCAAGTCGAAGTGGATCTCCTCGAAATGGAGTCACTGTACGAATGGAAAGAGAACTAGAAAGGTGACCTGTTCGGAGCAAGGAGAGTGCAATCCAGAAAATAAACCAATCGCGATTGAATTTTGTCAAGGTGCACGGTGGATCACCGGTGAGTTTACTATATTTACTATATACTTATGAGTATTTTGCAATAAATTATTTTCCTTCTTTTGCAATGCATTTCTAAAAAAATTGATTTATAACCTCAATTTTCTCGATATTCTCGCATTCTCTCGATACCATTATGATAATAATTCGAGCTTATCACTAATAATATCCTTTTGAAGTCTGGCTCGTTGCCAAAGATGCTATGACCGACGATTAAGCGTATAAAATCTTGATCTTTATGAGCATGCTTACAGGAAGATGGGGATTCTGCAACGCGAGTTGTCTGGCGAGAGTTGGCGTTAAACGCAGAGAAGTGGAGTGTCGTGATCGTATAACGGAGTTACTGTCCGACGATTGCAATCCTGAGAGAAGGCCAATCGATACGAGACGTTGTTATCACAGGCGGCAGTGCGCGAACGATAAATCCGGTAATTGCACACGCCAGAAGGAATCGGTTATTAAGGAAAATTCATGGTCATGTGAATTTATATGTAAAAACTTTTGTTGTTCCTTTTTACTTTCTTCCTTTTTTAATGAATATCTAGAAAGTTTTCATGGATCATTAACCATGTTGCATGATGCACACGATGAATTAATATCTTCTCAATATTTTACGATATACTTTTTTAAAAATATATATATTTTTATTTTTTTTCTGTGCTTTCTTATATTATTACTGCCACATAATTGTATTTATCTACGAATGAAAATGTTTGTGCTTATATTTTAACGATTTACATTAATAGAAACAGAATATAAAAATATACATTAATTTTAATATATGATTAAATATATGAAATATAAACTTTTTGTTTTTTTAACATTATTACTAAAATCGATAATTCTAGATCATTTTCAGTTTTTTCTCAGAAATATTGAATTATCATAAGAAGGGCAATTACAATTTTCAGCTTTTTTTTTAATTTTCAAATAAATATCTTTGAATGAATTTACTTTTATAATAGTACATAATTAATCTTGAAATTTTAATATTCAAATTTCTTTTTTTATATTATCTGCAAATATCAAAAAAATTAATAAAGAAATTTTATTATTCAATATCAATCGATTAATTAAAATAAATAATTTAATTGTCTAGTGTTGAGTAGATACACATTTGTTTCAGAGTGCAAGGATACTGTAGTGCCAACCTCGATGTGCGCGTCGTATAAACGCATGTGCGATATGTCATTGATCGTACAAGATAAATGTTGCGCTACGTGTTTCAAGAAGCGAAGACACGGTCGTCATAACAAGAGACACATTTTTGATAATTGAATAATCAAAAACGTAATCTTACAATTTTTAAATTCTGCATTTTTTGTCGCTAAAACAGGATCCGTCCTAAGTCTTTGCTTTAAGACTAAGCTTGTTGAAAAACTATGCAAATATATCTCTAATATAGTTGATTTAAACAAAAAGATTCAATATATTATAAATCTAAATAGCTGAATTTTATACGTGACTTAAATAACAATGAAAAAAAAATATGTAATGAGAATTAAAAGTGCACTTAATATTTTAATATATATAAATGATATTGCGATATTTTATTGGAAATTGAATAATATTTTATAAATTTTACTCATTTTCATCAAATTTCCAAATAATAAATTAATTATATTACATTATTGTAGATAAATTTAATACAAACATTTGTAATACTTGTGCAATTTAACAGTGCAAATATAAAAATTAAAAAAATTTGCAAAATGTACAAATACATCTGTATAGAAATTCGATATATTTTTCAATTATATATAGATAAAAATATAAATTTGTATTTAACGAAATCTTATATTTTATTTCCTTATTATTGATAATACAATATATATTTAATAGCATAAATTTATAAAAATAAAAAAACTTATTTGTACATTGTAATAATCATTACATTAAAATCTTCAAATAGAATAAAAATATGATCAAATTTTTTTCATTAAAATGTAAATTTTTATATTTTCTTACATTTGTTTTAATAATATATTCTGATGTATTCTATATTTTATGATACTATATTTTTATACAATTATATATATAATTGTATATATTATATATAATTATATATAATTATATATGTAATTGTATATATTATATATAATTGTATATAATTATATATATAATTGTATAAAAATTAGTATCATAAA